TGACGATTGTCATGAATATAAGTATTTAAATAAATATATGAGGAGTGACAACTAAGTAAAAATACAGCCAAATAAATATGGTAAAATTTAATTTAAAATATTCAAAATAATTACACAATAATATTAAGATTTTTAATGTGAAAATTTTATTCAATGTGAATGATAAAAATCATGAAAATTCTCGTAATTCAAGTAAAAAAACTCTACTATAAAAATTAGTATTTACAGCAACTACAAACTACCACAATAATTATAAAATAAAATTTCAACGACAAATCAACTAAACAAACAGTACATGAACAAATGAATGGAGATTAAAAACATTATAATATAATGAGATATATTTTTAATTAAATCCCAATATGAGTATGAATTTAATTAATTATATAATAAGTCAATATCGATAGTCAAATTACAGGCTTTTAAAAAATATTATAACTTGATTTATTTAATTGATGAAATCAACCTAACCCAAATGAAATATTATTTATTATCCTAAAAAATAAAAAACTTTGGTATAAATAATTTTTATACACTGTCACTTGCTAAATTTTTTGAATATTTTTATCAAAAAAAATTTTTTAAAAAAATTTGAGTACATGGGTGCAGAAAATGTTTAGATTCAGTATCAAATTCAGATTCTAACTCAATTAATATATTATTTATTAGGATGTCAGAAGGCTTAAAACTGATTATTTGACTCGTATGAGTGTTATTTATAAATTATGTATGTAGATGCAGCATGGATGTATATACATCCAGCATATACGTACGAATGATTTTCTTATGCAGTGTATATAAATACACAAACATTTTCTCTCGTGTGCTTACCAAAAACAGGTAAGACCTCATTGTCCACTTTATTTGAATTAATTTGGTGATTTAAATCAATATGTTTTTCTTTCTCTTTTTTAATTCATTATACATACATATAATATATATATATATATATATATATATACATCGTATGCTTTTTATAAATATACAAAATGGGTTTGTCTTCTTTTTTTTTTTAAATGTTACATAATTTATGTTAATATTATTATAGATATTAGTTGAAACTTAAATATCAATTTTAAATTAAAATTTAATAATCTTAAATAAATTTCATCATAAGAAAAAAGGCAGATTACCGACGGAGTTAGTGAAAAAAATAGTATGCTATATATTTTAATATATATGTATGTATGTATGTATGTATACATGATAATAGATATATATATATTTATTTTGTATAAAACTAAATGTACATTATAGGTGTGTCTTAAAAGTTATTTTTTTAATTGTATGCTATATTGGGCATAGCATCTACCATTACTTTTTGCTCCAAATAACAACATGTCGAGCTTATATACACCCACTTGGAATTTATATATATAGATATATTTTATACATACATGTATATATTATAAAGAGGAGGTTCATCTCGGGGAGGTTCATGTCTCAAATTAAGAATCATGTATTTATATATTATAACAAGTATATAATTAAACAATAAAGGAAAATAAATATATTAAATAAAACATTCAATTAGAAAACCCAATTATTGAAATGGAATAAAGCGAGAATCTTGCAGAAATTGTAAAATATTAATAAATTAATTTAATTTAATGTGAAAGAAAATTAAGACCACTCAAAATTGGGTTCCTCTTTATTTAAAAAATAAAAAAGTAATATTTTCTAATAAATTTATTTTTCATAAATTTACAATTTTTAAAAAATAATTTCTAATTTTTTTTAAAGGAAATAATCAAATTGAGATTTAAAAAAATTAAAAAAAAAATAGTAAGTGGATGCCAAATACTTTGTGCACGTGCCCAACAATAAACCCACGTGACGGGAAAAATTAAAAAATAAAAATAAAAATAAAAAAGCCAAAGAGCGAGACGACGTCAACATGTTGTCGTTTAGGGGTTTGGTGTTCGGTTGGTGATGTTTTTTTCGTAACAGATTCATTAATGGCGTTGACGTGGCAAGTTTCTAGCCGTTGATGCGATTAGATGTTTATCAGTTACGGCTGCTGGTGTTGGACCCGATCACGTCGTTGACAATCGCGTCAGTTGTCTTGCTATTTGTGGACCAGACCCTTTTTGTTTCTCGAGTTGGTTTCTTATTTTTAATTTTTTAATTGGTTGATTAATTACCCAATGACAATATATAATTATCTTTTAAAATTCTTATTTTTAAAAAATATTTTAGATATTTAGATATTAATATTTAACTAATTATATAATGAGTGTATGGCATGATTGGACCAACAATTAAGTCATTCTCTCATTTAGTATGAATTATAAATGTTTGAAAAATAAATATTTTTATTAATTTGAAATTAAATATATATTTTTTCAAACCCATTACAATTTAAAAAATAAATATTTTGTAATAAGTAAAAAATACATAATTTTTTTTAAAGAAAATTTAAAAATTGAATAGCTAAACTTATCAAATTGAATAAATTAAATAATAAATGTTTTGTAAAAATATGGAAATAAGTGTAGGGACATAATGGTCCACTTTGGCCTTAGTTTATTTTAATATTTATTTTAATTAATAATCTCACCTAACAACGTGAATTAATGGTGTCGAATTTATGATATTTTATTTAATGTGATTATAAATTTAATTTATAAATTATAATAAATAAAACGGGTTTATGAAAAAAAATATTTTTATAGTGATTATATTTTTAAATTTTAAATACTAAATTTATTATTCTTATTAGAGAAAAAAATTCCTAACCAATAAGCGATTTCCAAGTGTCAAAAGCCAGGGGATCCATTCTCTGCGCTTGTGACCACTCGACGGGTGAGATTATCATGTCTGGTGAAGTGTGCCATGTGCGAATTTTTTAAGACATTAGACCTAACCTCGCTCTGTTAACGAGGAAAAACTGACGACGTCCGTACTTCTCGGTATATTTGATAACAAGGAGTCCTTATTAACTTTATTTACAAAAAAGACCCCGACATATTTCCATTTTATTTTTAAGCCCCTCCCTAATCCTTTTGCTTATTATAAAAAATATATATATATATCAATAAATGTATTTCTATATATTTTTTTCAAGTTTTATTTAGAAATATGAATAATTATTTTACTTTCTAAACGAATTTTTTTTTCTTATTTTAAATATATAACAATTTTTTTTTTATTTTAAATTTTAAAAATTAGCAACTTAATTATTTTGTGTTATTTCAAATCAAATTTGTAATAAAAAACTTATTACCATATTTTCAAGTGAATAAAAATTGTTACTTAAATGGGCTTAATTATTTCCATGTAAATTCTAAATCTTATAATTAGTCAATCATAATTTATGGTATATATATATATATATATATAATGTAGGGAGAGGATTTGGTAAAACCCATGAATGATTGAGACATGGGAATATGTAAATAATTGAAGGTTGTAGTGTTACTATAAGATTTGATTAATACTTTTCACCATAAATTAAGTGTGACAATTTGTCTATGGCTAGAATTTGGTCAAGTGACAAATTTTGACCGGGTTGGTGAAAATTTTGAATACATAGAATAATTTATAGAATGTTTAGTTAATTGGTGAATTATGTAATAAAATATAATTACTTAATTTTTACCATTGTAACAATTAGTAATTAATGCCTCGGTAGTTTTATTGGACTTTAGTGGGTGTTTTTTTCTTCCCTTTTTAAAAAAAAAAATTAAAAATATAAAATTAGTGTATATTTTATAAATAAAAATGTCATCTCATTCAATATAAAAATACAAAATATTTATATATAATAAAATAAATAACAAAATTATAAACCCACGAGTCTCATTGACTCGGTCTAATTATATACTTTAAACAAATAAAAATAATAATTCAAAAATGGAACTAAATATGATATGATTCCCATATGACTATGTTTTACGTGTTTTCTATAAAGGATTACAATATTAATTATCTCATTAATAAATAAATATTTATTTGAAAAATATCTAAGTATATCGTGCATGTATATGTATCATGTATGTATAGATACATACAGCTATCATGTATCTATTGGTACATGTAATTACATTTATGATTTGGTATGTGGGTGTATGTGTAGATATACAGCATACAGTTATAAATATATATGTACACATAATCATGTGTATAGTTTTTGGTATGTTGGGTATATATATATATATTCATAAATCTGTCTATGTATAGATATCATTTATGTATTGATATATTCATATATATATATATATATGTGTATATATGGTATTTGACAAAAGAAGCACCAATAGTCCCTTTTCTGTTGGCCGCATACAAAATCTGTTGGCTGAATCACTGCTACTGTTGGCCGCGTACCAGGAGTCTTTTAACGTTTTTCTTCGTTTCCGATTCCGTCATTCCTAGCGTCACGTTACGTGGCAAATTACTCACTTGATACTTCCTAATTAAAAAAAAAAAAATTAAATTAAATTAAATTTAACTATAATACCTATTTTATATTTTAATTACTTAATATAAATAATTTATAATTTATAATGTATTTTTTTTTTAATAGATTCATTGGATGTTATAAAATACGTGGTTAAATCTTCCACCTCCCCGGCAGTGTCCGAAGGAGTTAAAATCTACTGCGGTAATTTTTTTTTACACTGAATTGATGATGACAGTTAATAAAGAATTCTTTTTGCTGTAGAGATTTACCGCGGAGGCTTGGAACCGAACCTGGCCTATAAAGCTATATATTATTTAACAGTAATCAAAATTTAATTATAATTGCGATAATTTAAAATTTCTAAATTAAAAATAAAACCATCTGCGCACAAGCTTGTTTCTTCCTCACCCGCCGAGGCGGGGCCCACCATGAGCGGCTAGCCCGTGCCGCATAGGGAGACGCACACGTGGCGCTTTGTGAAATGCTGAGCTGTCATAATTGAGGGTAATTTTAGAACTCCTCCTTGTGGTCCCCACACTTTCATTTTCATTTTATCTCTCCGGGTTAAAAAAGCCTCTCTCCCTCGCTCGCTCGCGTTCTATAAATCCAAAGGGCTCGCCTCTTGTAAGACTACCCGAAGAGCTGGCTCCTGAGAGGATTCGCTGCACCTCTCAAATCCTCTTCCTTCCTTTTGTTTTCCTTCGTTTTCTTTCTGAGGTTTTTCTAGTGTTGCTTTAATTTTCTGTTTTATTTTCCTGGAAAGTCAAACGGTTTTTGGTTTCTTGTCGAGTTCGTCTAGGCTCGATCTCGAGGAATCCCGACGTGATAAAACGCAAGCGGTGTGTTTGGTTTCTACGAGGATTCCTTGTTTATAACAAATATAAAAACACTGTGGACTTTTTTTATTTGAAGAAAGGATAAATCTGTGGACTTCGTTCTGTTTTCTCGCGAAACAACCTGCCGAACCATAAGATCCTCCACTTTTCCTTTTAAATCCGTTCTGATTTTCCTTTCTTTCTTGCTTGCCGAGCACTGGAAGCATTGTGTGAAAGATTTGGTAGTGGAAATCATCCCAGATCCGGAATCCTGTGTTTCTGAGAACTCTGTTTGATTGTAATCGTGTAGATCCGGTTCTGCTTGTGTTTGTTCCTCTTTCCAATAAGAATTTCCTTGTCGAAAAGCTTTGTCGTCGTAATTCTCCGGAAAATATACTCTTCTGAACATTGTTTATTAGTGTTAACCGGTTATTCAATAATGTCGGCGACTTCTAACTCCATCCTCCAGCTTCGCACCAATCATTGTCCCCTGACTTCTCTTAGCAAATCCTCTGCTACTCCTCAGTTGCACATCGCTCCGGTTAGCTGCCGTAGAACCAGAGCAGCACGATGCTCTGCTGCGAAGAAAGCGACGGTCGTGGAGAAGAAGTTCATGGGGGCCCGTTTGAGGGGATCCGGTTCCGAGAGGCTTCATTTCTGGCAATCGGACGGTCCTGGTCGTTCACCGAAGCTCCGAGTGGTGGTCCGCTCTGCATTGTCCGGGGTGCCGGAGAAACCTCTCGGTCTCTACGATCCATCTTTCGATAAGGATTCGTGTGGGGTCGGGTTTGCCGCTGAATTATCCGGCGAAAGCAACCGCAGAACGGTGCGTTTAATGCTTATGCATGCATAACTTTGAACATGCATATGGTTTTTGTTTTGTCTTTGTAGTTATCGTTTTTGTTCCGATTTTTATTTGTAAATTTTATTTATTTATTTCTTTGTTTTGTTAGGTAACGGATGCTTTGGAGATGTTGATACGGATGTCTCATAGAGGTGCCTGCGGATGCGAGACTAATACCGGAGATGGAGCTGGAATTCTCGTGGCTCTTCCTCACGATTTCTATAAGGAGGCATGTTATTTTGTTCAAGTTCTTTGGATTTTTGCTAATTTTCTGGATCTTATGCGAAAATAAATGTTAATTTTGCCTGTTATTGACATATACATTGAAGTTCTCGTTCGCTAGAGCTGGCTTCATTGTTTAGATTTGGAAATT